ACCCACCACCAACTGCCATAGAAGGAAGTACCAATGCCATGGCCTTGTGGAGCACATAACCTTTAAACATAACCTTGGTGGTGCTCATCATTGTTTCACCCCGTGATTGTGGACTTGACTGCTATATCCAAGGAAAAATTTTGGTGTCTTACCTTTAATATTTATTATTTTAAAAGATTTTTTATATATAATTTTTGTGAGTTATTTTATATTAAAAAATTATATTTTTTGTGGATATTTTTATAATTGTTGTGTGTTTTTATCACATTTGTAATAATTATTTTTATTACTTTTTCCAGTAAAAAAAATTATCATTTTTATGGGTGATTTACTATATTTGTGATTATTTTTATCACATTTGTAGATTTTTTATCACCGGTGTGCTAATTATTTTTAGCATTTTTCTAAATACCACAAATATATTAAATGGAAATGTGCTACAAATTATTATTATTTTTTTTTCGATGTTGTAGTGAACTCCCGTGACTGAGGTACGGGTAGCCATGAAGATGAAGAACGAGTATCAGAATGAATGAATCGTGCCAGTTTTTGTTGTAGTTGTGGATAGCAACTTGGAAGTGTTCTCAAGTTGCCCCTCCCATACGCCAGGTGATTTTAACAACAGGCTTGCAAGCGACGGGTGTTTTGGACTGTTGTCACTTATTTTCGGAATCATTTACAATGAAGTTTTTCTATACACAACTTCTTGTTCCACACACTGATTATAGGTAATCGAACCTTGGATTTGCTTAGGCGGCGTGTGGGCCTCTTAATAGGCCACAAAGATGGCACACATTGTAAGCCCATGGTGCAGCCCATAAATTTGATAATTATAGATATGACTCACTAAATTAATACGAAAGTGATAAAGAATTTACGGACTTTTAGTTCAATGGTATCTTTTATCTTGTAAAGGCTTAACTTTCATGAGATCAAGAGTTCATGTTTTCTTGGTGACAAAAGTGTAGTTGGTTGGTAGGAGACAAATTTCGGTTGTTTGGACGAACTACATCTAAGTCTTTGGTGTGGATTCCAATCTCCACCGAAGCGCAAAGTTTTGATTTAATTAGTGTATGAATTAAGGGACTGATTCATGCATCCAAGGATTACTCTTGGTTCTACTCGGATTAACGACTAAGTTGCCTCTATCTCGCTGAAGACAGACCAAAATTTTTTTCTGTCATCCAAAAACAAAAAAAGACTGAGCAATGGATAGACATAGGCACGTTAGACTCATTTAATAAATTAATCGATGCAAAGCTGATAGGAATTTGTAAAATGAAACATATCTAAAATGCGAACCCAACATAACATGAAGTGAACTATACCAAGGAAAAAAATGAGGCATGTATTGAATAAATTTTAAAACTACACAACTAATGTGACTTGAAAATTGACACGATATAACTCATTGACAGCGGGACTAGTCTACCACACCCAATATTTTAAAAATTATAATTTTATTAAATAATTTAAACAATAAAATTAAAAAAAAAAAAACTTAGAGTCTAATCTGTTTAAAGGTTCATTAGTACCAGTTCAATGAACAGACCATGACCTGCCTTTCTTTGGGCTGTAGACCTGGTCCAACCAATAGGCTGACCCATTGGTACATCGGCCCAGCCCAGAACGGCTAGATGCTGCCTCGTCACCATAATGTTCCTGCTTGAGAATGACATATGCCTACAGTACAAAAATAATTCATCCACAGTCATTGATTCTAGCGTGAATTAATTGCACTATTAATTTAAAAAAATGATAAAACAATAAAAAAAATATAAATATAAAATTTTACATGTGTCAATAAAAAGTAGATTTTTTGTACTATAAGTCGTTTCCTTTAGAATTTACATAGCCCTCGGCATTTTTTAAGAGTGAAAGTATGACGTGATTTGTTAATACAATATAAAATTAGAGGGTTTGAGACTTATTTAAGACAATCGTTTCATAAATGAGTGGATTCGACACGATACGATTAATAAATAAATTGAGTATAGGTGACATAACGAGTTGTTTATAGACCGAATATATACGGTTCAAATACGATACGAACCCGTTATGACATAATTCGTTAGACGTGAATTGATCGAGTGTGGGGTGTATTACTTTTTGTCACGAACCCGCCTCACCCGTCGGGATTGGCAACCCTAGTATTCTCCAACAAAATATTTTCATTGGCCACTCCGTGAATGATGTTGTAGACAAACGTGTGAAATAGCTTAGTTTTCATTTATGAAATCCAACGCTTGGCCTTGACAATGCTGTGGCTTTGATTTTTGCCTTTCTGATTCATAAAACTGCCATAAGAAAAGTAAGCAGGGGTTGAAATAATGGGAAGAGTCCAAATTGACTGTGTACTGGTCTTCATTGTTTTTCCTTGTACAAAGAAGACAGATCCTCTAAGGCAACAATAACTAATTTGCTGGTATTTTAAAGATCTCCGCAAAAGCATAGTAGATGAAACTCTCAAGGAGGTTAGGTAATAATTGGTTTTAATTATTTTTTTTTCTTTTTTTTTATGATTGGTTGTCATTATTTTTACCCCACAGAATACAAAATTAACAACTTTGTAGAATTATTCAATTCGATGAAACATCAGGTTGTGACATTATTTCATATGAAGAACTTATTCAGAATATAAATTACAGCAATGTTACAAAATTAAAAAAATTATAACTCATATACATATCATCTCTTAGATAAGTGGGTCCCACTAATTTTTTTCCTAGGATATACTTATCTCACATTCATTCAAGAGATGATATTTATTTTAGTTTTAACTTTTGAATTTCATTTGAATTATGTATCATTTTTCTACAAATTAATCTCATCTTGAACATTGGTTAACATGATGAAAAATACTAAATAATACAAATGAAATGCAAAGTTAAAAATCAAATTCATATCATCTATTAGATGAGTGTAAAATAAATGGATTCTATTGAAAAAATTGATAGAATTCACTCATCTAAGAAATAATATGTATTTAAATAATAATTTTTTAAATTTTATAACATTGATCTTGACATGATTACAAACGACTATTTCTTTTAATCCATTTCTTAATATCACGTGAAATTTATTGTCATCGTTCTTATTAATGTCGAATAAAATATGCTCTTCTAATGTCAAGGAGAACGAAGAAATATGCTACAAATATGATAAGATTGACCAAAGAAGGATGATGGAGAGTGGGGTTATTTGGGTCAATACAAAATAGGGTAAAAAAATATTTTAGCCTTTAAAATATGTATTTAGTGTCTATTTAATCTCTAATCTTTTAATTGTCTGTTTGATTTTTAAAATTTTTAATTTGTATTTATGAGGTCCAATTCTAAATGTCCATCAAAAAATCATGATAGTTCTTGTCATACGTTAATCACGTGGAATTAAATAAACACAAATTAGGTCTACATAGACACAAATTAGGTCCATGCTAATCATGTAGTTTTTAATTTGTGTCTACTTCATATCTAAAATTTTTAATTTTTATTTATTTGGTTTCAGATGGTTGACGCATGACTAGAAAGTTAACAATTTTTTTACAAACACTTGAAATTGAAATTAGGTAATTGAGATGAAATTAAGTATCTTAGAATCAAATAAAAATAATTAAAATATTAGAGAGGCTTGATCTCAAATCTGAATCAATGCTCATTGGTTTATCCACCAAGATATACCAACTACCGGTAAATCCGTTAACAAAGTGCATCAACAATTCCGTTTGATTTCATATATGATTTAGTTTTAAGCATTTAAATATTAATCTTTCGATCTTTGCTTGATAGTGGTTAACATTGACAGAGTCCTACGCCTACGCCTGCACCACAGGCTACTGCAGATATTTTAAGCCGCCCCACCACCATCACTGCTCTGCACTGTCTCTTCGATTCTCGCTTTTTGGCCATGGAATTTATCTTCTCAGCAGCTTATGTCATGCCCTCCTTTTTGGCCATGGAATTTATCTTCTCTGCAGCTTTTGTCATGCCCTCCTTCCATCAATTAGCTTGAGTACTCCGCGCTCTCTTTCTTTATTTTATTGGGATTTTGGTTTTAGTGATTCTTGGNTAATAATTTTTTAAATTTTATAACATTGATCTTGACATGATTACAAACGACTATTTCTTTTAATCCATTTCTTAATATCACGTGAAATTTATTGTCATCGTTCTTATTAATGTCGAATAAAATATGCTCTTCTAATGTCAAGGAGAACGAAGAAATATGCTACAAATATGATAAGATTGACCAAAGAAGGATGATGGAGAGTGGGGTTATTTGGGTCAATACAAAATAGGGTAAAAAAATATTTTAGCCTTTAAAATATGTATTTAGTGTCTATTTAATCTCTAATCTTTTAATTGTCTGTTTGATTTTTAAAATTTTTAATTTGTATTTATGAGGTCCAATTCTAAATGTCCATCAAAAAATCATGATAGTTCTTGTCATACGTTAATCACGTGGAATTAAATAAACACAAATTAGGTCTACATAGACACAAATTAGGTCCATGCTAATCATGTAGTTTTTAATTTGTGTCTACTTCATATCTAAAATTTTTAATTTTTATTTATTTGGTTTCAGATGGTTGACGCATGACTAGAAAGTTAACAATTTTTTTACAAACACTTGAAATTGAAATTAGGTAATTGAGATGAAATTAAGTATCTTAGAATCAAATAAAAATAATTAAAATATTAGAGAGGCTTGATCTCAAATCTGAATCAATGCTCATTGGTTTATCCACCAAGATATACCAACTACCGGTAAATCCGTTAACAAAGTGCATCAACAATTCCGTTTGATTTCATATATGATTTAGTTTTAAGCATTTAAATATTAATCTTTCGATCTTTGCTTGATAGTGGTTAACATTGACAGAGTCCTACGCCTACGCCTGCACCACAGGCTACTGCAGATATTTTAAGCCGCCCCACCACCATCACTGCTCTGCACTGTCTCTTCGATTCTCGCTTTTTGGCCATGGAATTTATCTTCTCAGCAGCTTATGTCATGCCCTCCTTTTTGGCCATGGAATTTATCTTCTCTGCAGCTTTTGTCATGCCCTCCTTCCATCAATTAGCTTGAGTACTCCGCGCTCTCTTTCTTTATTTTATTGGGATTTTGGTTTTAGTGATTCTTGGCCATTTTGGATCGATTTCTTGGGGCCTTCCTAAGAATTTCTGGGTTTTTTTTTTGTTGGTGTGTTCGAATATCCAGTTATTTTCGATTGGTTTCGTAGAATCCAGGGTTTTGGTCTTTGAACTTGGAGGGTCTGTTTTCTATTTTAGCCCTCTTCTTTATTCATTGTAAATGTTCTTTGAAAATCTTGATTGCGAAGCTTATAAGTCTGATGTGGTAAAGAGTAGGCTTGTTGATTGTGAAAACTTGAGAGAACTTTTGTTCGTCATATATTCTTTTGGAATATTGAACCGAAATTTGGATTCCATTTTTCTTTTATGCCCTCAGGGGATTATTGGTGGGATGTTCTTGTAGAATATTAAACTGATCTTTTGATTCGATTTTACTTTTCCTGAGTTCAAGGGATTGTTTGGTTATTTAGTCCTTGCCGAAGCTACTTGAAAGGTATTTTCTTTTGTTTGAGTTCACAGAAATGGATTTGGAGAGTGGTGAGGGAGAGAGCGGCCTTGTGAAAGAGAAGTTGGCCAATAATAATGAGGGAGAAACCATTGTCAATAAGTCTAATATACAAGAAGAGGACTTGGAGTTAAAGGCAAAAGATTTGGAAAGTATAAGTAACAAAGATATGTTTCTGAGGGCAGATAAGATTGATTTCAAGAGCTGGGATGTACAGTTGGATAAGCACCTGAGTCGGGCTTGGTCAAGAGATAGGGAAGTGCATACAAAGAAGGCAGAGTGGGAAATTGATGTAGCTAAATTGGAAATAAGGAATGTGATAGCCCATGGAACATATGGCACAGTGTACCGAGGTGTTTATGATGGCCAAGATGTAGCAGGTGCTTCAACAATTCCTTTCTGCTCCCATTTTTTATTTCTTGTCAATTTGGAATTGAATTCCTTCCATGGGATTGGAGAATTTGGCTTTATAATATTATGGTCATTATGTGTTTTTGTGTTGTTCTACTTGTTTAGTGTTTAAAGTTTAATTTTAGTGTTGAAAATTACTGTGATATTTTGATTCTTGTAAGGTTTGGGCAATTTGTTGTGAATAGGATCTATGTGTTAATCATTAACCCTAAAATGTGATGTTCAAGAAGGTTGGTTACATCTGTTTTTGCTGAGTAATACCTGAACCATCAAATGTTTGGCTGATGACAGCAACTAATGATTTCTTTTTTATTGTTAGCATTCTGATAATAGTGAGTACCTATGATATTATAGTGAAGGTATTGGATTGGGGGGAGGATGGGATTGCCACAGCTGCTGAAACTGCTACTCTTCGGGCGTCGTTTCAGCAAGAGGTTGCTGTGTGGCATAAGCTTGACCATCCAAATGTTACCAAGGTAAAAGCTAATCACAGTTCTGTTATATTTTCATCCTAGATGTTATAAAAACCTTGTGATGCCCTGCATTGATTCTGTAATAATATACATTATTGACTGATTATCAAAATAGTTAAAATTATGACACAACTGGAAACTGCCACATATGGCATATATTTACCTCAATTTCCAAATATGGTTTTTTTTGGCTCTTACTTTGTCTTCTATAGTTTGTTGGAGGTTCAATGGGAACATCAAATCTTAAGATTCCTTCCAGCAGCGCTCCCAGTGATGGCCATAATACCCTTCCTTCCAGTGCTTGTTGTGTTGTCGTGGAGTACCTTCCAGGTGGTACTCTAAAAAAATACTTGATCAGGAATTGGAGGAAGAAACTTGCCTTTAGTATTGTGATTCAACTTGCTTTGGACCTCTCTAGAGGGTGAGGATATCTTTTCCTCCTTCTTGGATTGGAATAATTTGTAAATTCGATGTTTATTAATGGTGAATGTTTCTGTTTGTTCTAAGTTGCAGTCTGAGCTATCTTCACTCAAAGAAGATTGTACACCGTGATGTTAAAACAGAAAATATGTTGCTTGATGCTCGTAGAACGTTGAAAATTGCTGATTTTGGCGTTGCTCGGGTTGAAGCTCAAAACCCAAGGGACATGACAGGGGAAACTGGTACCCTTGGCTACATGGCCCCGGAGGTACCAAGTACTTTTTCAACACTTTCATACCTGGTCTGTCTTATTTGATTGCAAGGTCTGTTTGATTGACTGAAAATGTTGGAAACTTGATGCCACGGTAGAATAATTAAATATTTCCTTGCTTTTTTTTGTCAAATAGAAAAAGAAATCTCATGTGTTCATTTTTGTAGGTCCTTGATGGTAAGCCTTACAATAGGAAATGCGATGTCTACAGTTTTGGCATATGTTTATGGGAAATATATTGCTGTGACATGCCTTATCCTGATCTGAGTTTTGCTGAAGTATCTTCTGCAGTTGTTCGACAGGTCTGTCTTTCTCTTACACAAAAGTTTAGTTCCTCACTGGTGGATTCTGACTGTTTGCTTGTGTGTCTTATAATCAGCGGCAGGATATAATAGAAAATTTCCATCCAATCCTGGGTCGTGACTTGCCTAGATTGATTAAATTAACAATGTTTCCTATACAAAAATGTTTAGAATTGTTCGTGCACATGATCTTTCAAATAGATTCTTATGACACTGGGTTTAGACTGGAGTCGAACATTTTTAGACCAGGTTGGGTGGGATCTTCATACACTTATGTGCATGCTCAAGCTGAGGATGTTCTGCTAGAAACATACCTTTTTCTGGCTTTTGGAGATGACTTTATTTGGTGATCTTATCTTCGTCCCATAGGTCTGACAGTTCTTGGTGGTGATTGACAGAATTTGCGACCAGAAACTCCCAGATGCTGCCCAAGTTCGTTGGCAAGCATCATGCGGAAGTGTTGGGATGCAAACCCAGAAAAACGGCCAGAGATGGATGAGGTCGTAAGATTGTTAGAAGCAATAGATACGAGCAAAGGAGGTGGCATGATACCGGAGGACCAGGCTGCTCATGGCTGTTTTTGTTTCAGAATAGCTCGCGGACCATGATCAGGCCTCATGTCCTTAAATGTTACATCATGGTTCATGATTCGTCATCTTAAATTTTTTCGTATTCCCTACGTTGTCATTTGTGTGTCATTAAGCAGCACATTGATTCACTCCAAATTATTCTGAAATGGTTTGATACGTCAGATTCTAGTCAGTACAAAACCTTTGAAGGCGGTATGTTATAACGAGGACAGACAAATTGGCAAACCTGGGTGGAGAACAATCAGAACTCTTATGTTCAACAATCACCTAATAGTCTGAAGTACCAACAACTTGATTAAATATTGGATGTAACGGTGACACCATGTTATTATTGACACCTAGTATCATCGTTTAATAATAAACCTACACATGAGTAAGGTGAACTCCTGATTATTGAATGATGTGGTAGGGTGGTTACATGACCAATCAACCTTCACTGTTTGTCTGTCTAATCCATGGCATTTTGGCTTGCAAGTTGAACCTGCTATTGACAACAAGCTTAGGGAAATTTGTCCTGAATGTCTGGGATATAGGGTGGTGGACTTGGTGCTCTGTGTTTTTTATGAGTGGATGCTTTGTTGATCAGCACGATGGAATGAATATATGCTTATCATAATTCAAACTTGTGGATTCTTGATCATCTTCCACAAGTTAGTGGTTTTAGTCAAAAGTATTGATAAGCTTCCATTTCTTATTCTTACATCACCTGATTAGAGCAAACAAGGAAGGATAAGATGAGGATTTAGTGTAGGAAAGGGATTGGCTTGTGAATTATTAAGAAATTCTCTTGTAGCTAACATGAAATCACAGACCACCAAATCAAATTCAAACAGATTGTAGCTAATTCGGTTAGGAACCAAATAGTAATATTCCAAATTGTTGGGCACTAGGCTAATGGACCTAGTCATTTTATTTATTTGTCTTTTTTGGATAATTGATAATCATTTTAGTTACATATTTTTTAACCCACAGGCAAAATTGATTATACGAAAATATAAAACTAAAACATAGGCAAGTGAGTTGGTCAAAACATGATAGATCAGGTTGGTATCAATCAAAAGTTATCTAGGTCTGTTATGGGACTCCAAAAATAGGATAAACGTCATAGAAATTACTAGAATGGTTAAAAGAGGACTTTAACTGATAAATCTTACTTTGGGCAAGAAGTCACTGCCCCTCGAAAGCTAAGAGCGTTTAACAACTAAATATTATCTAACAATTCTATTATTAGAGTAATCATTACCGAACATGAGTGACTAAGAGTATTTCCAACAATGTTATCTAAAATAGCTACTAAAAAAATATTTAAATATTGTATTATCTATTTTAACTAACCATTTTTTTGAATTCACTCTAACAACACTATTTATTTTAACTAACCACTTTAACTAACTTTCAATAATAAAATTAAAAAAATAACAATTCAACTATACATTGTACAAATTTAACCAATTATAAGCTACAACAGAGAAACCACCTCCCAAAAATTACTACTCCCAAACCAAATTCTTTCAAATTAAATCACAAAATTCAAAGTAAAATCACTTCAAATTACATAAATAACCGAAGTCAAGATTTTTTAAGAGTTTTGCTGGAATTTTTGGGGGTTTAACTGAATTTTTGGAGAGAATTTATTAAATTTTTGGAGAGTTTTGTTAAATTTTTTTTGGGGTTTTGCTAGATTTTTTAGGGGGAGTTTATTGAATTTTGGAGGAATTTTTGTTGGATTTTTTGTTGAATTTTTGAAGAGATGTTATTGAATTTTGGAAGGGGGTTTTATAGAGCTTGACGATGAAGATGATGCCACCGCCCAAATTAACAGACTGTAAGACCACAGATCAGCAGACCCAGATCAGTAAACTGTGATGAAAACGATGTTATCGATTTAGAGTTTTTTGAGATAGAGAGACCATACCTGCTTTTCAGTTGGTGGATCAAACCTTCGGTTGGTGCTCTTTCATTTGGTGGAGCAAGCCTTTTGCGATGAAGCCTTCACAGTTCTTGCTTCTTGGGGGTGTTCTGCAAAGAAGCATTCATTAGTCTGTTGGATAGCTAACCTTCATTAGTCGCCAGAGATAACTAACCAAATGAAGACTATAAAAAATATATAATGTGATAACTAGTCTGTTGGAGTTCAATTATATGATTTGCCTATATAAAATAGTTAAAATGCCAATTTATTGAGCTTCTTAAAATTGCTTTAAGATTGGTCAAACTAGCATGTCCCCCACAACTTATCCAAAAAATAAAAAATATCCCCCCCACCCTGGCCCACTCACAAAATAAATAAATAAATAACTTCTTTCATTTGAAAATAAAGAAGGGGCATTAGAGCAATTTGTGAAGGTTAAGGGAAATTTATGCAAGTTTCACATGTTCCCATCCGTCGTTCTCTATAAAACAACACTAAATGTAAGAGCTACGCCACTTCGTGCTCCTATTTTCATCGCGTCACCAACTTGGCCAGTAGGGGAATCTGTTCGACTCAACTGCCAAATCTTGTATTCTTCTTCCGATGTTTCCCGGCAACGACTATACTGCGTCGTCATTGATGACAGATTTTCTTCGAGATTCCGGTGGTGTTGCCGTGATAGACGGTGGCCTGGCGACGGAACTCGAACGCCACGGTGCTGACCTCAACGACCCTCTCTGGAGTGCCAAATGCCTCCTCACTTCTCCTCATCTCATTCGTACGGTAATTATCTTTCTCAATCGTGTTATCTTTGAGTCTTTATTCTCGATTTGTTTTTTTTAACTAAATGTGCTGAGCAATTCGTTAAGCTGAAATTTATAAATGTTACGCCTAATCATCGCAAAATGATTTTAAACAATCTTTTTTATTTTCTATCGAGGTTTCTTTGCAACCAAACATAGCTTTTCAATTCGTTTCGATAGTAACTTGCTTGCTTGTTTGTGGTTATTGATTTAATTACCATAAGTAAATCACTAAATTCATAATTAAATAAGTCGTAAACAAAGACTCGATGGGATAATATTTTCTTGTTTACCGTCTGTTTGTGATCTTTTTTGTCCATATGCAGTTTCTTGTCTCAGACTTTGTAGTGTTGATAAACTTCGGCCACCACGNCTTCTTGGGGGTGTTCTGCAAAGAAGCATTCATTAGTCTGTTGGATAGCTAACCTTCATTAGTCGCCAGAGATAACTAACCAAATGAAGACTATAAAAAATATATAATGTGATAACTAGTCTGTTGGAGTTCAATTATATGATTTGCCTATATAAAATAGTTAAAATGCCAATTTATTGAGCTTCTTAAAATTGCTTTAAGATTGGTCAAACTAGCATGTCCCCCACAACTTATCCAAAAAATAAAAAATATCCCCCCCACCCTGGCCCACTCACAAAATAAATAAATAAATAACTTCTTTCATTTGAAAATAAAGAAGGGGCATTAGAGCAATTTGTGAAGGTTAAGGGAAATTTATGCAAGTTTCACATGTTCCCATCCGTCGTTCTCTATAAAACAACACTAAATGTAAGAGCTACGCCACTTCGTGCTCCTATTTTCATCGCGTCACCAACTTGGCCAGTAGGGGAATCTGTTCGACTCAACTGCCAAATCTTGTATTCTTCTTCCGATGTTTCCCGGCAACGACTATACTGCGTCGTCATTGATGACAGATTTTCTTCGAGATTCCGGTGGTGTTGCCGTGATAGACGGTGGCCTGGCGACGGAACTCGAACGCCACGGTGCTGACCTCAACGACCCTCTCTGGAGTGCCAAATGCCTCCTCACTTCTCCTCATCTCATTCGTACGGTAATTATCTTTCTCAATCGTGTTATCTTTGAGTCTTTATTCTCGATTTGTTTTTTTTAACTAAATGTGCTGAGCAATTCGTTAAGCTGAAATTTATAAATGTTACGCCTAATCATCGCAAAATGATTTTAAACAATCTTTTTTATTTTCTATCGAGGTTTCTTTGCAACCAAACATAGCTTTTCAATTCGTTTCGATAGTAACTTGCTTGCTTGTTTGTGGTTATTGATTTAATTACCATAAGTAAATCACTAAATTCATAATTAAATAAGTCGTAAACAAAGACTCGATGGGATAATATTTTCTTGTTTACCGTCTGTTTGTGATCTTTTTTGTCCATATGCAGTTTCTTGTCTCAGACTTTGTAGTGTTGATAAACTTCGGCCACCACGTGACTGTGTTTTTCTGGCAGCTTTGAAATCACTTATAGTTTTTTTTTTTTTTTTAAATGGTAAGTCCGTTTTCTGATGTAGCTTGGGTCCAAAATCTAAAATGATGTGAACTTACCCCACAAAGTAAATTTATTTGGACCACCATGTGAGTATTATCTCTTTTACGCCACTTGGGTATTTACTGAACAGCATGGGGGACATTAATGGTGGCATGGTCATACACTTCGACAGGAATGCATGGCAATTAAGCCACCAGTTTTTGGTAATTATGTTAGTTATTAGTATTAATTTTTATATCCTTTTATTTTCAATAATTGGAATGCATAAAGTTTGAACGGAATTGCATTTAGTTTCTCTTTGCTAGATCCACAGCCTTAAGTCCAGTTATAACTGTTCACCTTGCATGTATGCATCTGAGGTCATGAATCAGGATCACTATCTGGCTGAACATAAGAAACCACAATTTGATAATTTCTTTTAATAGGAATTTGATGAATAAAGACAAGTTTCAGTTCAATAAACCCTTTAAAGTGCAAAAGTTATTCTGAACATTGGTTCTGAAAAAAAGTGCATTGAGATGCCTTAAAATTTGGATTTGTCTGATGAATCAACAGTCTTCCCTGGAACTTGATCTGCTAATAAACTGCCAACTTTTCTCAGAGTTGACATGGCAAGGAGTGTTGTTGGTGGAACTTTCTGCTTGGAGTTTTATGAGGAGGTCACACAACATCAGCAAGCTTATAGGTTCCATTTACAAAGGGTCATTGTGGAAAGTTGGAAACTCATTGTGGGCAAAATAATTACTGTTATCAGAATGGAGGGAAATGGCTATTATTTCAGTAGAACAACTTTGAGTTTTTTACTTGTTTGATTTGCTATATTACGAGTTTTTTTTTACAAATTTTAAATTGCAAAGGTTTCTTCATGGACCAGATGGCCTATTAAATGGTTTACATTTTTGGCCTTTTCACTTTTCTGGGAAGCTATCTGGGATCTGCACGGGGATTATGAGTGCACGTGATTTAATAAGTTCCACTGGCATTGTATAACTATTAATATTGTTTTCCGTGTATCACTTGAGACACTTAGCTGGCAATATTTCTGTCTGTTATCTTCTCATATTTCACTCATTTGTTTGATGGAATTAGGTACACCTTGATTATCTTGAAGCTGGTGCGGATATAATAATCACCGCCTCTTACCAGGTAATTTCTCTGCGTTTTTATGTCTGTGTGCATAGAAAATTGAAATTGATTTCCACTTGTATGTTGGCAGGCAACCATTCAAGGGTTCCAGGCCAAAGGCTTCTCTCATGAAGAAAGTGAAGGCTTGCTTAAGAAAAGTGTGGAAGTTGCCTGTGAGACACGGGATATATACTATGACAGATGTCATCAACCTTCTCATGATCATGCTGACGATGGTAGAGTTCTCAAACAACGACCTATCTTAGTTGCAGCGTCTGTGGGAAGTTATGGGGCCTATTTAGCTGATGGTTCTGAATACAGGTGACTAAACTCCCATACTTACATTAGATTTTGTGTTACTTATTTTTATCTTATTTCACCTTTCTTGGTTTTGATTTGACTTCTGTTACCACATTTACAAAACAATGTATGGATGGGACTGCTTTTATTGACCACATTTAAATGTGTGGTCATTTTCCTGTATGGACCCTTACATAGTTTCTTGATCTACCTGCTCAAAAGAATGATCAAGCAACTGGTCTCCAAGGACTATTACTATATGGTATTCATGAATTAGGCAAGACCTCCTATAAGTGTGATGCACACAATACAGGAATAAGTCTTCCACATTTGACCCAAAATGATCATACATAAAGCTGCCACTATAGCATAATTTATAACTATTAAAGACCAATTTTGTATGGCTGCATGCTGTCTGTGTACTTTTTAAGAATAAGAAATATATGTTCTGCATTTGATTTTAGTTGCTTAATAAGCTTTCTTTTATTGAGTGTGTGGTTTCTCTGCTAACAGTGGGGACTATGGAGATGCAATGAATCTGGAGTTTTTAAAAGGTTTTCACCAAAGAAGGGTTCAGATTCTAGCAGAATCTGGTGCTGATCTACTAGCTTTCGAAACAGTGCCCAATAAGCTTGAGGCTCAGGTATTGGCTATATTGATCAAGGATACTTATCTTTAGTAATATTTTCACTTTTTTCCCTTCGAAAATAGAACAAAGGTTTAGGTACTGAGTATACTCGTGCTCAGTTAATCGTCTTAAACTGTAATGACCGGGAGACTTCTCCGATGTGCACAGTTCTAAATTATGAAAAATTATTATAAACTGCTCCAAGAAACAAAGCTTGCACAACTCGAAGATGGGGTCAAAGCTCAATCCTAGATCTGAGACTGATAACTGTAGGTGCAATAATGTATTAATGTTGATAGTTTTACTTGGATATTGGATTTTCGTTTGTGACAATTGTTGGTGCTCATCCAGGCTTTTGCTCAGCTTCTTGAGGAAGAAGACATAAAGATTCCTGCATGGTTTTCCTTCAACTCTAAGGATGGTGTTAATGTGGTCAGTGGAGATTCTTTTCTTGAATGTGCAGCAATTGCTGAGTCATGCAAAAAAGTTGTAGCTGTAGGAATCAACTGCACCCCTCCTAGATTTATCCATGGCCTGATTTTATCTATTAAGAAGGTATCATTCTATAGGTTTACTTAAATTTTTTGCGTAAAAGCAAGTAAGTTTTGTCGGCAAGCAATCCAACCCTCTCAGCATCCCACATCTGTAGGACCTCGATCTTAAAATTTTGGATAGATCTAAGGTTTCTGTTGCTTAACTACTAACCATGTATGCTTTAAAGAGACAGAGCGAAGGACAGTGCTATGCTACTAATATATTCATTAATCCTTTTCCCCTTTTCCTTCATGGGACAAATTGATGTTATTCTTGACATTCTTGCAGTGCTCAATTAATCGAGGGGAAAAAAACCGGGAATAGACTGTGCAGTCCTATTCTATTTGAATATTTCACAACATTTCATGGTTATGTAGCAGTCTGTGAACCTCTTGAAGCCTAAGCTTTAGTACTTTTCTTCTTTATTCACTTCCAAAGGAAGAAAATGGAAAGAAAGAAAGAGAGTAAAAATGGCGTGTCTCTGATCTTTCTTGGTCATATCCTGAATGCCCGGTCTTTATGAAATCAAGCATAGATCTGTAGATAGATACTAATGTATAATCTTGCACTTCTTTTTATTGTATGAGCATATGTTTTTGTAAAAGAGTTGTTCCCAGCTTGTTACACTGGACTGTGGAGCATCATCTTTGGATTTCAGTCAAACAAGGAATATATTAGGGAAACAATCATGGGGTAGGTGTGGGTAATTGTAGAGTACCTGTGGTTGTTTATATGTTCGCCCATGTGACAAAATGAATATCTATTTGTGCTGTTTGCAGAAACATCGTTCCATTTTTTCCCTTATCAACCGAAAACATGTGTTCCTCTCTGGTATTTATTGATATTCTGCATATTTACTGATATTCTCAAAGTTTGATGGAGGAAAAGGAGTTGCTTGATTTCTTTGATAACAAAGCATTTGTCGTTGGTGAAAATCGTTTTGATAACTTCTATCTCTACTGACTGCATGTGCTTAACATTCAATAACACTGGAGTCTGGAATTATATTTCCTTGCTCAAGCTCCGCAAGTATGAGGAACAGTGACAATGTTTGTTATTTTCCTTTCTCAATGAATTTCTGAAAATTATGAATGATTTTATTCTTTAATGCACTTGGAATCTTCTTGTTTTGTTGATGTGTCATTATCTCAGGTGACAAATAAACCTATTGTTATTTACCCAAACAGTGGTGAGAGTTATGATGCTGATCGAAAGGAGTGGGTGGTAAGTGTCCTTTTTGTCCTTGGGCTAATAAGTTGTCTTTTGGAAACCACTTGGCAGTTACTTGCTTTCAGATGGTTGTATCATTCATGCTGGACATGCGTCATGATTCAGACTAATCTTTTTTTGCTAGGAGGGTAGTCCTCCATTTTTATAGCCAATGAGAATGAGTTTTCTTTCTTGGACATTGATACTTGAGTCGTTCTTGATTCTCCCATCCCAAGCCTAGAGAAATGGAAGGAGTGTTTCGTTACCATTCGCTGGAAAACCTCAAGAGAACCTTGTAAATATGAGGAAAATATTTTCACTGTGCAAAATGTTGAAAAAAGCTAAGAAGCAAGGTTGAGTGGAACTGGAGTCTAATTCAAATTTGGCCTTTCCTTGGTTTTCCCCAAATTGTTTGGATGAGAATTTATGAGTTCAAAAGATGAAATTTTGTGCTGTTTGCAGACCTAAGTTGGCATCAATTCGGATTGTTTGTATGTGTTATTTTGATGGTTAAAGCAAAGAAACAACTTCTTTTAAAGTGTTGTCTTTGATTTTGAGGGACAATAACGTGAACATTGAGATGTGCTAGTCTTGATATGCCTTCTAAAGTTGTTCTGTCAACTTTTATATATATATATATATTTTTATTAAAGATGTTCCTGAATCATCTCTACTTATTCTCATTTTCTGGTGCAGCAAAATAGTGGGGTTTCAGATGAAGATTTTGTTTCATACGTGAACAAATGGTGCGAGGTAGGAGCATCCCTTGTAGGAGGTTGCTGCAGAACTACTCCCCATACCATTAGAGCGATTTATAGGACTCTCTCCAATAGATCTGCTGCTCTACCTTTGGATGGCCGCACTGAATAGCTTTAAATGGAGAGAGATCTTTAGTGGTTGATTGCTTGAAGCTACTGACAGGGTTTTTTGAATTTCAACATTTTCTTGTAATTACAAATGGTGATTGGAGAGCCTGATGCACCACTGTGAATGAAGGTTTTGATCGACTCACTGTTTTTTGGGCTCGGTAACTATTCGACAAGCACGTTATGGGAGGCTTATTGTTATCATATTTACAGGGTTAATATTTTGCCATTAAGATGTTTGGAAGATTATTATGTATTGCACTTTTTTTTTATTCCAAGAGTTGTTTTAATTTGCTGATTATGGTATGCTCTGCTCCTCTTGGTGTTTTTTCTGGGGTAAGTTTTGTTGTTTTAGTGTTCTGTGCACCATCAAAGCAATCAAGCCCAGGTCAAGCTTGTAAAATTTAGTTTGTTTATATGAAAAATAATTAACAAGTTGCGCTTGAACAATTTTTTAAACTCATTTAAAAAAAAAGAGTCCTGTAGGCTTGAGCTTAAGTTCAGAAAACTTGGCTCAAGTAACACAGCTCCAGTGACACTTTTGAAAATTGTAGCTCGGTGTGGTCTCCGAAGTGTTTGGAATGTCGAAGACTTGAATGCTTGCAATTACTGCAGGGTTGATTCTATGTGGATTGATTAATAATTTACTCATGTTGAAGACAGTAGAGGTAACTAATACATTTTATGTTAAAATTAAACGCCGAAAATGCCTTATGGAATTCAGGTATTACATTCATTATATGGTAAGGAACTAAAGGTTGATAACCATGGTAGTGGCAGATCAAGAATCAAATCCCGAGTAAATACCACTCTCCCTCAACTGCCTCTTCTCTTCTTCAACATAGTTCTTTCCCCTACTAGCCTGCCCAAGGTCCCTCTTTCTCTTCTCCTTTTGTGAGAAGGAGATGTTCTTCTTGTCTTTCTGAGTCTGCGCACCCCACAGCTGCTCTCCTTCGACTATTGCAACTCTGGTTCTCTGTCGTTCTTCGTAAGTTTCTTCTCGGGTATCCTTTGCATGATTCTCCCTGCCTGTAGACCAAGACCAGTCTCGGTTATGGTCGACTGGCTCTTTTGGTGGAGGCACATTCAAGACTGATAATCCACCTTTATATCCGTGTCGGCTCAACGCATCAAAGTCTATACCCTTGCTCTTACGCTTTCCAGACTCAACTGCATACATGCATCAAAGGAAACTAGAAACATTAAGGTAGATGATACTTCAAAGCTAAGGTAGGTAGATGCTGAATAGCTGCTCCATTGATCAAGCATGAGGACCAAGTTAACTTCTCATTCAAATTATCAGTTGAGTACAAAATATTTTATCACTGCTTTTCTAATCTAATGTATAATTAAGGGTGCAGGTGTAGCTGGTGGCAGAGGAGTAGAGGGTTGAGGAGCAGGGTAAGTAGAAGCATCCCAGAAACTGATAGCCAACATAACCAACAGTCCCTAGGAAAGGTTTACATATAATAATGCTCTCTGGTGACATTCAACCTGATGTCGAGTGTCTTCTTGATTAGTTATAGTAGCCCATAGGCGAGTGACTGGGCTCAATTAAATGATTAAAAATCTTATTCATGTTTAATTTTTTAGGGTTTTTAGTTATCTAATTCCTATGTGTTTGCTCAAACCCAATATGATTTTTGACATACAATAAATTCAACAAAGTTAATGGGCGCAAACGATGTCGAATGAATCTATGGTAAATGGTGCCGCTGTTCATAAAATGCCAAGCATATTACAGATTCTCCTCACCCTAGCTCAAAACTGCCCTCCCCAAAATCAAGGCTGAGCCAATTTGACAAGATCTTTTCGAAACCCTAATCAATCTTTCAACTAAAATAAATCGCAAACGAGTGCATCTATGTGTGTTTGTATATAATATGGTCATTCTCGTAACCTAGTAATTCATAAGACAAGTTCAAACCGGTTCAGGAAAAAAAAGAAGAATCAAATTGGCTCATGAAACAACCAGAGTGAAGCACAAATTACCTTGAGATTTTTTATCTTTGGTATTCTTCGTGTTCTTCTCACCGGGTTCGTTGTCGTGGTCGTCACTATGTTCTGTGTCAGTATGAAGGGTTGATGATTCATCCGATGAATCTTCCTCCCCATCACTCCACGGCATCGGCCTTTTCATGACTCACAGTCCGAGCCAAACTCCGGTCGATTCCACGGTCGACCGAATTCGCCGATTGACAGAGGTAGGGTTTATGTATAATGACGCTTTGACCGTTTAAATGACGCTACTTCACTTATCATTACAGTCGGGTTTTGGTTAGTCATTGTTGACTAACCGGCTCACAAACGGATTCGGGAAGGGGCTTCCAGCCCAATGGTCAGCCTTCCATAATCATGGCCCGCTAGGTTTTAGGCCTACAAGTAGCCAGTTGTATAGTGGGTGGTGGATTGGGCCTTTTACTTAAGGGACGAGCGGCCCGATGGGCTGGCACAATTGAAAGCCAGAAAGGGCAGAAACAGTTTTAAAGTCATTAGGGCTGGCCCGTTAATGGATCCATTAGTGCAAGCTATGGGTGAGGTGGTGGGCATGAGTATGAGTGTGTCGGATTAAACGGTGACGAGTGAAAAATATATAAAATCATATACGATCCATTTAATAAACGGATGAAAAATCTCAATACTAATATAAACTGTTTAATAAACGAGTAACACGATTCGTTTAACTGGCGTAATTTTAATTTATTATTAGTTTAATTTTATTTAAACGGGTGATAAACAAATTGACATGACTTGCATAAATACAATCCGTTTATTAAAAGTGTTTGACGAGTCAATTCATTTACTATCTGAACCCGTTAATGTCTCACTTAAACCTGTTTAATTCGCATTAGTTAATCGTGTTTGGCCCAGGCCCGGTCTGTAGACTAGTGGTAGCATTAGTAGCCCAGACCACAGTGGGCCTGGACTAACAACCTGGGCGGGTCTGGGTGCATCCGGCCCAAGACTAATCGCTATGTTTTCGTCGTCGTCTTCTTCAACTGGGAGGCAACGGCTTTTCTGTTCTTTAGGTTCTTGCGCCGCCAAGACGCTTAACGACCAAAAGGTACCAACCACCTTTCTTCTCTCTCGAATCCCTTTCTTACAATTCTTCTTCTTCTTCTTCTTACATAGATATGTATTTACTCTCTATTCTTAATGTTTTATCTACTTGTAACGGACTAGGGTTTTGGCCCAAGTGGTTTTTTAATTGTTGCCGTACGTTGTTACTTTCAGTTCCAGAGAGTTTGGACCATATTGTTGACACTTAATCACTTGTATATATCAATTGTTCTTGTAGGGGACACTATGATTACTGTGGTTCACTGGTAAAGGTGGTAAGCAAGGTGTTTCTATCCAATTAAAAGTGACAAACTCAAGCACAAAAGTAAAAGCAGAAACAAATTTGGTAATTGTGACATACATGAATTTTTCATTACCTCCGAAACATCTGTTCTGTCTGTATCTCTTCCGGAATAGAGCTGTCAGCAGTAGATTTTCCCATTCATCCATACGGGGAAGAAGAAAATATGGACAAAAACCCTCATAAAATTGCAGCTTTATTCTGAAACGCAATTTCAGTGTCGAAACTCGAAAGAGTACATTCTACGCTTCGAATTAGAATAATTTATGAATGATAATTGTTGGCGATTGGTGTTAAATTCTCATATGTGGAGCTGTTACAGCTGTGATTTTTTTTTTCTCCCTTTTCAATACGAAAGAAAAAGCATTGTATTTTGTAGTCCCTGTTTTAACCTTAGACATTATTTTCTTAATGTTTATCACTGTTTTATGTTTGAGTACCTGAATCTGTACCTGCACATGCCTTGCCTTTTATGTCATCCACATGTACAATTTCAAGAGACTGCATTTTTTTCCTTCGCAAGTGCATCTGCTCTTAGTTCCTTGCATAAATTGATGAAAGGGGAATGATGAGGCTATTAGATGAGGTTTGCACAATGGTCCACCCACACAAACACCCTAGATAGACAGGAGTAAACTAGGTAATGACCTTTTTACTTTATATTTGACATGATTTGACTAAAAATGCCTTCCTTAATCTGTTATGGTGATATTAGTGCCAATGATATCATCATGGTGAATTCTTTTCTGCATGTATATATTCTGAAAAAGAAGCTGCTAAGCAATTCAATTTGTTAGAGCTTATTCTTTTACTTGTGGGGTGATTCTATCCACATATTATTGCAGATATAACATAAAGCGTAGGGTAGCTTACAGTATTACTGAATTTGTCATTATGGAGATCAAGCAAGATGGAAAAGAAAGCTCGTTAATTTTGACTAAGCAAGGCGCTGAAGCTGTAAGTTACATTTGGATTTTTTTAATGTTCTATTATACAACCTAAAACATCCTAACAGCTTGTTTAAACTACTTTAATGTCATTTGAAGTCAACAGCAACTGCACAATCTCTTCCTTCTTGCTTTTATTTATTAGGAATATTTTTTTGTCAGAAACCTTTACGTACAGGTTGAAGTTCATTATTTTTATTTATGGTTTTATTCTTTGCTCCTTGGATAAAATTCTTAGATGACATGATCCTCTACCCTAGCTTTGCAATAGCCCATTAAGCTCTACAGTGCATTGAGACATGTGTGTTGAGCGGCTCAAGGTGTTGATGGCTATATATTTTCTTTTTTGTCCTTAGAGAGTCTTTGAGTCAAAATTCGTGGGAAGGAGGTCTATTGTTAAGGAACGGTTTTCAAAGAAGTACAGGCATCCATCCTTGGACTCAAAGCTTACTCTCAAGCGCTTAAATGCGGTTAGTTCTTCTATGTGGAGTCACTCTTCCCTTTTATCTCCATTAAGTAATGATCCATGTTTCACTTTTTGACTTTCCATATTTTAAATACTGGAGCAGGAGGCTAGATGCATGACAAAGGCTAGGCGGATTGGGGTTTATACTCCAGTTCTTTATGCTGTTGACCCTGTGTTGAATACTCTAACATTTGAATATGTGGAGGGTTCCTCTATCAAAGATATTTTCCTTGACTTTGGATTACATGGTGTTATTGAAGAGCGGATGCATGATATTGCCACACAGATTGGTGATGCTATTGGCAAACTACATGATGGTGGCCTCATTCATGGTGATTTGACTACATCAAACATGTTAGTGCGGGGTGGTACAAATCAGCTGGTGGGTGTTGTTACTTTGGTTTATGTTATTTCTGCACTGTTTATTCATGTAATTACTCACTTGTCCTGGGGTAGTTTTTTGCCCTCCCTTCCTTTTTTTATTGTTTGCTCTGTGTGTGTTTTTTTTGTTTTGGGGTGGGGGGGGGGGGGGGTTGGG